GCATTCCAGCATCTAAGTATAAATAACGAGTAGCTAAAAATTTGCGTAATCCTTTAGTCAAATATACTTAGAAGTGGAGGGACCAGTAATATGTACCCTCAAAGAGATCCTTCAGTCTACCACGCTTAGAAGAGAAGCGACTAGTCTCAAGGACCCTCGCAGCTGTGGAGATGCCAGCTCAACATGAGAAGAAGAGGAGCCAGCCACATAGACCCTCGAAGACGGACACTAGATAAGAGTCATGAGGCGGGACATCAAACTACAGAGACAACATGGATCCATAGTTAACAGAGACACATTAGATAGAAACACTATTGAGATGATAGAGTCGACGATCAACCCGTTAGTACCAGACAGCACTAGAAGCCAGGTGGCAGTTACAGAAACTAGAACCAGTTAACAAAGTAACTAGAGATGAAGAACACAAGGCCACTTTTAGAGTATGTGACCATACAGCAAACACAGCACCAGTCAGAATATCATTGATGTCGTTTGTGACATTACTGAAGTATCACAACAAAGACCGTATACAGAAGAACAGTTGTTTCAAGACATTTTATTTTACAAGCATCAGAGTCACACGAGAAGCATGCAACTAGCAAGACATCATCATCATCATCAGCGCTATCGACACGACCATCTTTCTCCTCGTCTATACTCTTCCAATCGACTCCTCCTGTAGCACAACTAAAGACGAACTTGGATGTGACATCAGCATGCAACAAAGAACAGGGCTGTGCTACACAGTCTCTATCAAGCCGGCTTTCAGATGTGGGTAGGCTGACCATATGTACTGGTTTCACTCGGATATTTCGGTGTTTTAGATGTACCCCCACCGTTCTCCAATTAGCCCGTTTCATGAAAATCTAATATGCTTATATTGTATGCATGCACACAGTTACACCTGTAAACCTATACGATTGTATAGTTTTAGATACTTTTATTCACTGAAGTGTATTGATAAGCAATTTCCCCCCCCCCCCCCCCCCCCCCCGACCCCCCCCCCCCCCCCACCCCCCCCCCCCCCCCCCCCCCCCCCCCCCCCCCCCCCCCCCCCCCCCCCCCCCCCCCCCCCCCCCCCCCCCCCCCCCCCCCCCCCCCCCCCCCCCCCCCCCCCCCCCCCCCCCCCCCCCCCCCCCCCCCCCCCCCCCCCCCCCCCCCACCCCCCCCCCCACCCCCCCCCCCCCCCCCCCCACCACCCCCCCCAATATGGCAGTTAAAGAGTACTTTGTTTCGTTTACTTTTTAGGAGGCAATGGTTCAGATTTTCATATCATTCTAGAGCGAATAATTAACCCGTTCATCCCGGTGGCATAGAAAAATATGCTGATGGGCGGGAGAAAGTGGTCGGTGGAGGAAATGGTCGGTGGAGGAAATGGTCGGTGGAGGAAGTGATCGGTGGAGGAAATGGTCGGTGGAGGAAGTGATCGGTGGAGGAAATGGTCGGTGGAGGAAGTGATCGGTGGAGGAAATGGTCGGTGGAGGAAGTGGTCGGTGGAGGAAGTGATCGGTGGAGGAAATGGTCGGTGGAGGAAATGGTCGGTGGAGGAAATGGTCGGTGGAGGAAGTGGTCGGTGGAGGAAGTGGTCGGTGAAGGAAGTGGTCGGTGGAGGAAATGGTCGGTGGAGGAAATGGTCGGTGGAGGAAATGGTCGGTGGAGGAAATGGTCGGTGGAGGAAGTGGTCGGTGGAGGAAGTGGTCGGTGGAGGAAGTGGTCGGTGGAGGAAGTGGTCGGTGAAGGAAGTGGTCGGTGAAGGAAATGGTCGGTGGAGGAAGGTTACATTGATATGCTTGGAATGCCCCGTTTTTAGCTGAGGATATTATAGTCACTCTAGATTTGTAGTGCTGCTGGAGTCAGCGGTTAGTCACTTCACCTGCCGCCCCGTGGGTTATGGCTTCAGATGCTCATGGTGTCAGATATGTTGTCCAAAAATTACTTTGGTTTTGAGGTCGACATAGCCTAAATTGGCTACAAGTCAAGTTAAAGTAATGGGAAGTAAATGCAGTCGGTGGGATGTTGACTACATCCCCAATCCAGGACTGTTTGATCTGTGAAGAGTCTATCATCACAGTTCTAATAAACCAGTAGCACGGAGAGGGGTCCCTTCATGTTGACTCTTGTGAGATACCAGAGAACAAAATGTCTGGACGCACAGCTTGAAGAAGTGAAGAGATGAAATCAGGCAAAGGCTTTTTCTCTTGGTATGGAGGGTGTGAAGTACATGAACTGATCACGTCGTTTTAGAGACTGTCAGATGCTGAGAAGCATGATCGCCGAAGCTAGTCCTCAAGGTACTAGATGATGGTTTTTGTTGCGTGCGAAGCCACTGAGCTGTATAAAGGGTTAATGAAATCTAAGCTTTTTAGTGAAAGGTTGGGAATGTAAACGTTGGGCGTGAAAGTGAGATTCACGTGTAGATGATCGAGGTTGGTCTTTGTGTGGTCAAGATGGCGAGGTATCGAAATACTTCACTGAGTTACTGGGGGGTGGGGGGGGGGGGGGGTTGGTCTTTGTATGGTTGTGATGGCGAGGTATCGAAATACTTCACTGAGTGACTGGGGGGTTGGTCTTTGTATGGTTGTGATGGCGAGGTGGTATCGAAATACTTCACTGAGTGACTGGGGGGGGGGGGGGGGGGGTTGGTCTTTGTATGGTTGTGATGGCGAGGTGGTATCGAAATACTTCACTGAGTTACTAGACAGGGGGGGGGGGGTTGGGGGGGGGGGGGGGTGGGCTTTTGTATGACTGTGATGGCGAGGTATCGAAATACTTCACCGAGTTACTGGGGGGGGGGGGGGGGGTTGGTCTTTGTATGGTCGTGATAGCGAGGTATCGAAATACTTCACCGAGTGAATGGGGGGGGGGGGGGGTTGGTCTTTGTATGGTCGTGATGGCGAGGTATCGAATACTTCACTGAGTTACTGGGGGGTTGGTCTTTGTATGGTCGTGATGGCGAGGTATCGAAATACTTCACTGAGTTACTAGGGGGGGGGGGGGGGGGGTTGTCTTTGTATGGTCGTGATGGCGAGGTATCGAAATACTTCACTGAGTGACTGGAAGAAGGAAGGAGGGGGGGGGGGGGGTTTGGTCTTTGTATGGTTGTGATGGCGAGGTATCGAAATACTTCACTGAGTTATTGGGGGTTGGTCTTTGTATGGTCGTGATGGCGAGGTATCGAAATACTTCACTGAGTTATTGGGGGTTGGTCTTTGTATGGTTGTGATGGCGAGGTATCGAAATACTTCACTGAGTTATTGGGGGTTGGTCTTTGTATGGTCGTGATGGCGAGGTATCGAAATACTTCACTGAGTGACTGGAAGAAGGAAGGAGGGGGGGGGGGGGGGGGTCTTTGTATGGTTGTGATGGCGAGGTATCGAAATACTTCACTGAGTTATTGGGGGTTTGGTCTTTGTATGGTCGTGATGGCGAGGTATCGAAATACTTCACTGAGTTATTGGGGGTTGGTCTTTGTATGGTTGTGATGGTGAGGTATCGAAATACTTCACTGAGTTACTATGGTGGGGGGGGGGGGGTTGTCTTTGTATTGTCGTGATGGCGAGGTATCGAAATACTTCACTGAGTGAATTGGGGGTTGGTCTTTGTATGGTTGTGATGGCGAGGTATCGAAATACTTCACTGAGTGACTGGAAGAAGGAAAGGGGGGGGGGGGGGGTTGGTCTTTGTATGGTTGTGATGGCGAGGTATCGAAATACTTCACTGAGTTATTGGGGGTTGGTCTTTGTATGGTCGTGATGGCGAGGTATCGAAATACTTCACTGAGTTACTGGGGGGTTGGTCTTTGTATGGTCGTGATGGCGAGGTATCGAAATACTTCACTGAGTTACTAGGGGGGGGGGGGGGGGGGGGGGGGGGGGTTGTCTTTGTATGGTCTGATGGCGAGGTATCGAAATACTTCACTGAGTGACTGGAAGAAGGAAGGAGGGGGGGGTGGTCTTTGTATGGTTGTGATGGCGAGGTATCGAAATACTTCACTGAGTTATTGGGGGTTGGTCTTTGTATGGTCGTGATGGCGAGGTATCGAAATACTTCACTGAGTTATTGGGGGTTGGTCTTTGTATGGTTGTGATGGCGAGGTATCGAAATACTTCACTGAGTTATTGGGGGTTGGTCTTTGTATGGTCGTGATGGCGAGGTATCGAAATACTTCACTGAGTTATTGGGGGTTGGTCTTTGTATGGTTGTGATGGTGAGGTATCGAAATACTTCACTGAGTGAATGGGGGGTTGGTCTTTGTATGGTTGTGATGGTGAGGTATCGAAATACTTCACTGAGTTATTGGGGGTTGGTCTTTGTATGGTTGTGATGGTGAGGTATCGAAATACTTCACTGAGTGAATGGGGGGTTGGTCTTTGTATGGTTGTGATGGCGAGGTATCGAAATACTTCACTGAGTGACTGGTTAGCAGACTGTTGTCTTGATTTTCTTCACCAGTTGTGGCACGTCTGCCTTAAGGATAGACAGCCTTCAGAGGTCATATGATGCACAGGTGTAAAATTCAAGGTCACTTTCATTTATCATTTCTCTTTCATTGAAATGAACATTTTTGAAATAAGCATACAAGTACAAACAAAACAGATAGGAGGGAAAACGAAATTCTGAGTTAGCTGAATGATAAATGATTTATTTTGTGATCAATGCTGTGTTTCACACCTTTATATGTATAAATGTGTGTAAGTGTTAATGCGAATGTGTGCTCTGGTGTGAATTAATGTGTGTGTTGGACTGTGTGCATGTGTACAAATGTGTGTGTTGGACTGTGTGCGTGTGTACAAATGTGTGTGTTGGACTGTGTGCGTGTGTACAAATGTGTGTGTTGGACTGTGTGCGTGTGTACAAATGTGTGTGTTGCACTGTGTGCGTGTGTACAAATGTGTGTGTTGGACTGTGTGCGTGTGTACAAATGTGTGTGTTGGACTGTGTGCGTGTGTACAAATGTGTGTATGTTGCTAAAGATGGATGGTGCAGTTGCCCAGACGGCTTCAAAGATTTCTACTCCGCAAGTCCCGGTCTGGATCTTGAGTCAGGTCTTCCTCCAAGCGTGGTTTAGGCAGCAAGCATTGGTCCCGACTGTTTCCATGTCTGTGTCAGAGAGGGGAATAGACACATGGGCATTTGCAGTGATCACACAGACGTCAAGACAACAGCAGGCAAACTTCACGACGGGAGCACACACAGCAGAAGGGTATGAATCTTCAGTAGGTGTGCCCCATCAAACATTTGTTTCAGCCCGTTGATCCCCTAGATAATCTCCTGGGTGGAAAAGTAAGGGGTGGGGGAGGAGACGGGGCAACCTTGGTCATGACTCCAGGGTCTCGAACCTTTCCTGTTGCGTTGATCAGCAAGATGAGACATGGCTAAAGCACCTTGGCACTGAGGTTATGGTGATAGCCGCTAGTGCAAGGCAGCAAATTAATCGTCTTGGCACTGAGGTTATGGTGATAGCCGCTAGTGCAAGGCAGCAAATTAATCGTCTTGGCACTGAGGTTATGGTGATAGCCGCTAGTGCAAGGCAGCAAATTAATCGTCTTGGCACTGAGGTTATTGTGATAGCCGCTAGTGCAAGGCAGCAAATTAATCGTCTTGGCACTGAGGTTATGGTGATAGCCGCTAGTGCAAGGCAGCAAATTAATCGTCTTGGCACTGAGGTTATGGTGATAGCCGCTAGTGCAAGGCAGCAAATTAATCGTCTTGGCACTGAGGTTATGGTGATAGCCGCTAGTGCAAGGCAGCAAATTAGGCGTCTTGGCACCCATCTCTCCTCCTTTATAAAATTTTTCTTTAAAGTGTCTTTATACAGTTTATTTTAGCTCATACATTTAAAAAAAAAAATTTTTTTCCTTCATGTGCATTATTATTATTACTAATTGTTTAAAACAGACAATAATTTATAATGTGTTTTAAATGTTATATGTTTTGATGACTAACTTAAACATGCCTACAGTTTTTTAGTATTTAAAAAAAAAAAAGACCAATCAGTGTAGCAATGCTTTTTTTCTACCTCCTTGTTATTTTACCCGTTAAACGTTTACACCTGTTGACATGTTAATTTACTTGTTAATTGTATCATCTGTTACCCCTGTCGCTTTGCCTTTTATGTGTGACATTTATCGGGTGGTTTTAGTTAGTAACTGTCACTGCTTATTTTTCCACATTACATTCTAACGGTGACAACTGTTATCTGGTCACTATACTTATTAACAGTGACATATGTTAGCCAGTCACTTTACCTATTAGGCGTGACATCTGTTGTCTTGTTACTTTGCCTATTAGCTATTATACCTTTTTTCTTGATACTTTATCTATTATCTGTGATATCTGTTATCTCGTCAAATTACCTATTCATTGAGATATATGTTATCTTGTCAAATTACGTATTCATTGAGATATCTGTTGTCTTGTCAAATTACGTATTTTTGAGATATATGTAATCTTGTCAAATTACGTATTCATTGAGATATCTGTTATCTTGCTACTTTACCTAGTAAATGTCATCTGTTATCCGGTCACTTTACCTATTAATTGTGGAATAGGTTAGATAGTCAGTTTATCTATTAACTGTGATATTTGTTATCTTGGCAATGTAGCTATTACCTATGCCATACCTATGTGACATATGTTAGCCTTTTTCTTTATCTGTTAACTGTGACATACGTAAGCTTGTTACGTTACTTAATTGTGATACGTTGTATCTCGTTACTTTGCCTATTAACTGCAACATCTTTAATGTAATCTTTTTTTTTAACCTATTGGCTGTGACATCTGTTATCTTGTCACTAACCTAATGATTGTGAACACTGCTGTCTTGTCACTTTACCAATTTTTTTGACATCTGTTATCTTGTCATTTTACATATGACTGTGACACCTGTTAAATTCTTATTTAGTCTATTAACTGGGGCATCTGTTACCCTATTACTTTAGCTATTAATCATGACACCTATTAACTTGTGAATTTAAAACATAACAGTGACATCAGTTGCCTTGTCAATTTAATATTGATTGTGACATCTGTTAACCTGTGGCTTTACAACAATTGATTGTAATATGTGTTATCTCTTAATGTAACCTTATTTTTGTAGCATCGTCAAACATTTTTCTTGATCTGTTAGCAGTCAAAGTTTCTAGCGTATCACTTTACCTCTTAGCTGTGACACTTACTAACTTGTTACTTTAATTGTTAACTGTGACCTTGCTGACTTGTTATGTCATCTTGTTTACACTAACACTTTAACTTTTTTTTTTTTTGGGGTGTTTATTCCGTTACCTGTGACACTTATGAACTTGACTTGATACTTTTGTTAATCTGTTGCTTTAAATGTTAACCTTAACACAACACTTGCTAACTTGTTACTTTACTTGTTAAAGTTGATCTGGCTAACGTGTTACTTCAACATGTAAACAGGTTTATTTACAGCTTTTTCTTTACCTGTTAACAGTGAACATTGTTACCTTGTTGTGTTGCCTGTTATCTTTGACACTTACTAAGCTTTAACTTGAACTGTTACCCACTTGCTAACTTTTTACTTTACCTGTTTAATGTGACCTCGCTGACTTGTTATTTTACCCTGCTAACTCTAAAACTTCAAGCTTTTTCTTTACTTGGTAATAGTAAACATTGCTAACTTGTTTTTTTTTTTTGACACTCACTAAGCTTTTACTTTAGCTGCTACACACTTGCTAGCTTGTTACGTTACCGGTTATCTGTGGCAATTATTTACTCGGTTATTTACCTATTGGATATTTGCAAATGTGTTAGTTTACATGTTAACAGCAACATGACACTTGCTAGCTTGTTACTTTCCCTGTTGACACTTGACATTTCACCTGTCAACTGTAATACCGCACTTGAAAAGATGTTAGTGTTACTGTTATTATGACACTTGCTAACTTTTTTTTTTATTTGTTAACTGTGACATCGCTAACATATTACTGTAACCTGTTAACTCTACTAGTTGAAGCTTTGTCTTTACTTGTCAACTGTGACCTCGCTAACTTATAACTTTACCCATCAACTGTGACCTCGCTTTTTACTTTACCTGTCAACTGTGATCTCGCTAACTTTTTACTTTACCTGTCAACTGTGACCTCGCTAACTTATTACTTTACCTGTACACTGTGATCTCGCTAACTTATTACTTTACCTGTGAATTATGCCCTCCTAGCGTGTTACTTTACATGTCAACTGTGACCTCGCTAAAATGTTACCTTACCTGTCAACTGTAACCTTGCTAACGTGTTACTTTACCTGTCCACTGTGACCTCGCTAACTTACTACTTTACCTGTCAACAGTGACCTCGCTAACTTATTACATTACATTTCAACGGTGACCTCTCTAACTTATTACTTTACCTGTCCACTGTGACCTCGCTAACGTATTACTTTTCATGTCCACTGTGACCACGCTAACTCATTAATTTACCTGTCAACTGTGACCTCGCTAACCTATTACTTTACCTAGCCACTGTGACCTCGCTAACTTATTACTTTACCTGTCTACTGTGACCTCGCTAACTTATTACTTTACCTGTCGATTGTGACCTCGTTAACTTATTACCTAACCTGTCAACTGTGACCTTGCTAACTTATTACTTTATCTGTCCACTGTGACATCGCTAACTTATTACTTTACCTGTCCACTGTAACATCGCTAACTTATTATTTACCAGTCCACTGTGACCTCGCTAACCTATTAATTTACCTGTCAACTGTGACCTCGCTAACTTATTACTTTACCTGTCCACTGTGACCTTGCTAACTTATTACTTCACCTTTCCACTGTGACCTCGCTAACTTATTACTTTACCTGTCAACTGTGACCTCACTAACTTATTACTTTACCTGTCAATTATGACCTCGCTAGCTTATTACTTTACCTGTCAATTGTGATCTCGCTAACTTATTACTTTACCTGACAACTGTGACCTCACTAACTTATAACTTTACTTGTCAACTGTGACCTCGCTAACTTATTACTTTACCTGTCCTCTGTGAAATCGCTAACTTATTACTTTACCTGTCCACTGTGACCTTGCTAACTTATTACTTTACCTGTCAACTGTCACCTCACTAACTTATTACTTTACCTGTCAACTGTCACCTCACTAACTTATTACTTTACCTGTCAACTTTGACCTCGCTAACTTATTACTTTACCTATTAACGATGACCTCGCTAACTTATTACTTTACCTGTCAATTGTGATATCGCTAACTTATTACTTTACCTGTCAATTGCGATATTGCTAAGTTATTACTTTACCTGTCAACTGTGACCTCACTAACTTATTACTTTACCTGTCAACTGTGACCTCACTAACTTATTACTTTAATTGTCAACTATGATCTCGCTAACTTATTACTTTACCTGTCAACTGTGACCTCGCTAACTTTTCACTTTACCTGTCAACTGTGACACCTAGAGGCGGTAGCAGTGGATTAATGTGTTCGATAACGATAGCATCACGTGATCCCATCGATGGATCCTGCTCAAAGTAGTTGAAGGGAGACAAGGCGAAGCTGAGCTTGTGGCCGGCAGTTGTTGTTGTGGGAATGTCCTCGGAGCTAGGAATGTGGTAATTACCCAGGGCCACCCAGAACACAAGATCCTGAAACACACATCATAATATCATGTAAAAAAATATTGAGCTCATGTCGAAAATAGTGCTTTCATGTCTAAAATATTGCTCTCATGTCTAAAATATTTCTCTCATCTCTAAAATATTGCTCTGATGTCTAAAATATTGTTCTTATGTCAAAAATATTGCTCTCATGTCTAAAATATTGCTCTTATGTCAAAAATATTGCTCTCATGTCGAAAATATCCGCCTACACATTTCAGCGATTCATTATCATCAAGTGTCTTGCCGACTGGCGTGGGTGATAATGCCTTTTTACAATCTGTGATATGCAGCTGTATTAGTTGTTTTGCTGACACTCATTGCTATGACAACAGACTGCCAAGAGTCTTCTTATTTTGCCCCTTTTTGTCTTTTCCCACGTATATTTCCAATTGTCACAACATGTTCTAGTTTCCTTTTTCTCATAACATGGCCCAAAACATAATAACTGTCTCTTTTTTATGTTTGTAAAAAGTTGTCATCGAGCATGTGCCTCTTCAACGAGTACAGTGCCCTAAATGCAAGGGCTCAGATTATATTTTCCTTATCATCAGCATTTACAACATATGATTCTTTAACTTGTTTAGCAGTCAGTCATGTTCATTTACAACATATGATTCTTTACCTCGTTCAGCAGTCAGTCATGTTCATTTACAACATATGATTCAATACCTCGTTTAGCAGTCAGTCATGTTCATTTACAACATATGATTCAATACCTCGTTTAGCAGTCAGTCATGTTCATTTACAACATATGATTCAATACCTTGTTTAGCAGTCAGTCATGTTAATTTACAACATATGATTCAATACCTCGTTTAGCAGTCAGTCATGTTCATTTACAACATATGATTCAATACCTCGTTTAGCAGTCAGTCATGTTCATTTACAACATTTGATTCTTTAACTCGTTTAGCAGTCAGTCATGTTCATTTACAACATATGATTCAATACCTCGTTTAACAGTCAGTCATGTTCATTTACAACATATGATTCAATACCTCGTTTAGCAGTCAGTCATGTTCATTTACAACATATGATTCAATACCTTGTTTAGCAGTCAGTCATGTTCATTTACAACAAATGATTCTTTAACTCGTTTAGCAGTCAGTCATGTTCATTTACAACATATGATTCAATACCTCGTTTAGCAGTCAGTCATGTGCATTTACAACATATGATTCAATACCTGTTTAGCAGTCGGTCATGTGCATTTACAACATATGATTCAAAACCTCGTTTAGCAGTCAGTCATGTTCATTTACAACAAATGATTCTTTAACTCGTTTATCAGTCAGTCATGTTCATTTACAACAAATAATTCAATACCTCGTTTAGCAGTCAGTCATGTTATTTACAACATATGATTCAATACCTCGTTTAGCAGTCAGTCATGTTCATTTACAACAAATGATTCTTTAACTTGTTTAGCAGTCAGTCATGTGCATTTACAACATATGATTCAATACCTCGTTTAGCAGTCAGACATGTGTGTATATATATATATATATATATATATATATATATATATATATATATATATATATATATATACAACATGTGACATAATAACTCGTTTACCAGTTAGTCGTGTATATTTACAACATATGATTCTATAACTCTATTACCAGCCAGTCGTGTATGTTTACAACATATGATTCAATACCTCGTTTAGCAGCCAGTCGTGTATGTTTACAACAAAAAAGCCAGTAAGTCATTTACCAGTCAGTCTTGTGTGTTTCAACCACGTGAGTCTATGATCTATATACAGGTCCTAGTCACGCAAAGAATACATGGAATGACAGAAAAGCACCCGAAACAATCCTCTCCGAGATAGATGATAGTCATACATGTACTGTATGTCGACAAGCTATGAGAGGGAACTGACGTGATAACCTTCTACAAATTAACACACTGGATGGAATGAGAGGAAGAGGAAGGCAAAGAGATAAATACACTGATAGCTTTGTTACATCGATGCGGTGATAAAAAAGCATTGACTTGATCCGTTTTCTGGTGATCGCGTGAAATAACAAAACATGACAGTACCAGCATGGTACTTGATGGTAGTGATTGTGTATTTTTTAGCACATGTGTCTAGATTACTTTGCTAACTAGTCTTGTGTGTTTCCATCACATGTGTCTATGAACCGTGCCTTGTAATCCAGCTGTGAGAAACTATTGTGTTTATGAATGTTGCATGGAATGTCTTATATTTACGAGTATCAGGTTATGCGTTATCAGGTTCCTTACATTGACTAGTAAAATATTACTGTGATCACGTGTCTTACATTTACTAGTATAATTTTACTGGCGATCACATTTCTTACATTTACAAGTATTATATTACTCGTGATCACGTTTCTTACATTTACTAGTAACAGGTTACGAGTTATCAGATTTTTTGACACAACTTAACAACACCAAAAAACAATTTATTAATATAAAATGTTATTGCTTACTATGCATACATTAACAATTACACAAACACACACACACACACACACACACACACACACACACACACACACACAATCTTTCATATGGTGTATTGTATGCAATATTTACATAATGAGGTGTTTTATCAAATTTTTATTGTATGTGCACTTTATCATATAATTTATTAGATACCCGAGTTGAGATAATTTTGTTTATAAACTGTTGTTAAAAATTATGTGCCTTGATTAACAAAAGCCTTTGGCGCCTAAATAACAATTTATATTACTCTAGAAAACTTATCGCAAGCCATAAACATTACAAATTTGATTTAATTGTTACATACACATACATTAAATCTTGGCGCCCACGCATTTATGATATAAAACCATATAGCTAAACTCGTGTACCCATTAAATTATGTTAAACATTATACAAAGAATATACATTTAATAAAGCACGTGACTGTGAAAATAGCGTGTCAAAAATAAAAGATGATACACAGAAGATGGACACAGGATAAAAGTTACTCCTTGAGTACGAAAGTGCATGAGGCGGAAAAGCTGGCGAAGGACCGAGTTTCTTTCATACAGACCGTGATGAGAGCGACGTTCTGCACAGGGCCTGCTACATGACGATGAGGATGATATTTTCTTTCTGTTTAGAGCATTATTTAATCTATGCCAGATGGAAAGTGACCTGAGTGCTGAATCTTTGACATAGGAAAACTGCATTGAAGATTGCACAGGGCAGGAAAGCATGGAAAGTCCTCTTTGAAGCCTCATGTGCCACTAGGCATAACGAGAACTGATGATGATGATAGATAAGTAGTGATATTATACAATACAAAGTGGCTTTGTGTGTCGTTATTATGATTATTTGCTGCAAGTCAATTGATGCCGCACTCCGGTGACCTGCACTATGACATGATATGAAAAATGTTTTAAAACTCCTATGCTCCACCATGTATGGGTAGGAGATTCTATAGGACCCACCTTATCGACAATTGACTCGTTGTCAGAGTAAAAGGTGGTGAAATTGGTGGTCGGTTCCAGACTGTCATACATGCCGTAAGGTGAGCTAGAAGAGATCTCACCGTCCTTTTGTGTAGTGGCCACAATCTGATATCTAGACCACGAGAAGGTATTCTCGTTAGCCACACCTTCACGCAGAAGCAGCTTGGAGATCCCTTGTACGTGCAACCTGCTGACCGGCAGTATGTCATTAATGTGTGCACTCATTATAACAGACAATGTAACGTGTTACCAGGTCCACAAAACATTATTATATATACACACACACACACCCTCACATGTACACACTACACACTCACCCCCACATAAACACACCCTATACACACACTCTCACACATATACACACCACAAACACCCTCACATATACACACCACACACACTCTCCCATATAAACACCACACACTCTCTCTCACACATACACAACACACACTCACATATTCACACCACACATACACACCCTCACATATTCACATCACACACACAAACCCTCACACAAACACACCACACACACACACCCTCACGCATACATACCACACACACACACTCACATATACACCACACACACCCCATCATAACATATACACCACACAAACACTCTCACATATACACACCACACACACGCTCTCACATATACACACCACACACACTCTCACATATACACACCACACACACGCTCTCACATATACACACCGCACACATACTCTCACATATACACACCACACATACACCTACTAACATATACACAACACACACACCCACTCGCACATGTACATACCACACACCCCACACATGAACATCACACACCCTCACATATACACACCATACACACCCTCACATATACACACCACACACACACCCTCACACATACACACCACACACACACACACCATTACATATACACAAACACACACCCTCACATATACATACAACACGTATACACACCCTCACATATACACACCCTCACATATACACACCACATACACACAGACACAAACCTTCACATATAAACACCACGCACACACCTACTAAAATATGCACAACACACACACCCACTCTCACGTGTACACTCCACACACCCCACACATACACCCTCACATTTACACACCACACACACACCCTCACATATACACACCACACACACACCATCACACATACACCACACACACACCATTACATATACACCATTACATATACACAAATACACACCCTCACATATACATAGCACACAGACACACACCCTCGCATATACACACCACATACACACAGACACAAGCCCTCACATATACACACCACATACACCCATTCTCACATACACACACCACACACACCCACATATATACACACTACACACACACCCTCACACATACACACCACACACAAACACCCTCACATATCACACCACACACAAACCCTCACACATACACGCCACACGAACCCTCACACACACACACACACAAACAGCTGATAAATTATCTATTCTACCAACTTTGTTGCTGGCTCAGAGCAACTATGGGGTTGGGCTTACATTCTGTCTGGTTGTTGCTGGCACAGAGCTACTATAGGTTGGGCCTACATTCTGTCTGGTTGTTGCTAGCACAGAGCTACTATAGGTTGGGCTTACATTCTGTCTGGTTGTTGCTAGCACAGAGCTACTATAGGTTGGGCTTACATTCTGTCTGGTTGTTGCTAGCACAGAGCTACTATAGGTTGGGCTTACATTATGTCTGGTTGTTGCTAGCACAGAGCTACTATAGGCTGGGCTGTCATTCTGTCTGGTTGTTGCTAGCACAGAGCTACTATAGGTTGGGCTGTCATTCTGTCTGGTTGTTGCTGGCACAGAGCTACTATAGGCTGGGCTGTCATCCTGTCTGGTTGTTGCTGGCACAAAGCTACTATAGGCTGGGCTGTCATCCTGTCTGGTTGTGGCTGGCACAGAGCTACTATAGGCTGGGCTGTCATCCTGTCTGGTCGTTGCAAGCACAGAGCTACTATAGGCTGGGCTGTCATCCTGTCTGGTTGTTGCTGGAACAGAGCTACTATAGGCTGGGCTGTCATCCTGTCTGGTTGTTGCTAGCACAGAGCTACTATAGGTTGGGCTGTCATTCTGTCTGGTTGTTGCTAGCACAGAGCTACTATAGGCTGGGCTGTCATCCTGTCTGGTCGTTGATGGCACAGAGCTACTATAGGCTGGGCTGTCATTTTGTCTGGTCGTTGCTGGCACACAGCTACTATAGGCTGGGCTGTCATTCTGTCTGGTTGTTGCTAGCACAGAGCTACTATAGGCTGGGCTGTCATCCTGTCTGGTCGTTGATGGCACAGAGCTACTATAGGCTGGGCTGTCATTTTGTCTGGTCGTTGCTGGCACACAGCTACTATAGGCTGGGCTGTCATTCTGTCTGGTTGTTGCTAGCACAGAGCTACTATAGCCTGGGCTGTCATTCTCTCTGGTGTTGCTAGCACAGAGCTACTATAGGCTGGGCTGTCATTCTCTCTGGTCGTTGCTAGCACAGAGCTACTATAGGCTGGGCTGTCATTCTCTCTGGTCGTTGCTAGCACAGAGCTACTATAGGCTGGGCTGTCATTCTCTCTGGTCGTTGCTAGCACAGAGCTACTATAGGCTGGGCTGTCATTCTGTCTGGTTGTTGCTGGCACAGAGCAACTATGGGATGGACTGACATTGTGTATGGTTGTTGCTGGCACAGAGCAACTATGGAATGGACTGACATTGTGTATGGTTGTTGCTGGCACAGAGCAACTATGGGATAGACTACCATTCTGTATAGTTGGTGCTGGCACAGAGCAACTATGGGGTGGGCTGTGTGTTACTAAGTGATCTGACTGGTGTGTGTAAAATCAGTCCTATGCCGTAAATGTTCTCAGAATGATGCAAGTCCCCTAACAGCTTTGTACTGTCAGAGCAAACATTTACAATGTATTTTAATTTCGCTGTTTATACCACTCCACCCCCTTATAGTGCCGTCTGATGCGATCTCCTCTCCATATCATAGCGCAGCATGCCCGTGGATAAAATAGTCGAAGTAGTGCTAGCTTGTGTGTCTCTCATCTTAGAGAAAAAAAAAAAAAAGCCTTGGAACAATAAAGAAAAAGCCGAGAAGAGAACAAGTTACTTGAAGATTACCTCATTTATGAAACAAATACGCTACACTTAAAGAAAAAAAAAGGCGAACAGATAATGAGAGTGCTAACTGTACGATCTGCATTGAAACTGCTAGCTGACGAAGATGCAGCCAGAGAACCGAGTGCTGTGATATCAATTCTAGATCAGCTTAACTCAGACAGAACAAATAACCACAAAATAACAGGTTTAGCAAGCTACTGTGAAAGATGTTCTTGCCTGTAGGCTTTGTCTTCTCCTAACTTGTTCTTTCTCGCCTCATTGTAGACGATGTGATACTTCGGTTCATCAAAGTTATACTTGAGTAAGGCTTCATTCTCAGTTCTCTTCAGCGTGGGCACGATCTTGACTTGAGAATATGGCTTGCCCGGGAACTGCGTCACACCAAACAAGAGATCATTGTTTAGATTGTAGTCGGTTTTTAATTTAGAAGTGTGTCAATAAACTGATAAACGAAAGGTGTCTACTGTGTAATAACTGCAAGATTTTAATTTGTGATACAGTGCTGACACAAGGCATACCAATTTATGTGTACACAACACTCGCACACAGAAATATATAAATGTATATGGAGTTATTCTCGCTTCTGATTAAAATGGACGCTAGGCAGGGGCACTGTTTGGAGCCGAGGCATACTTTTTGCTTCTGCTGGACGGTGGCCGATGCATTGTTGCTCCATTTGTAGACAGGATATAGTTTCATCGTGCAGCTTCTGAGTTAAATGCATGGCGTGACACTGTGAGCTGCGGATTTGATTTGGAATGTTTTTTTCGACTGTGACCAACGTTGTCGTGTGAATTGAAGATTCAGTAAAGGGCGCGATACCTGTCGTCGAAATGTTGGTAGTGCCCTTATGTGATTAAAACTTATCGCTTGTGCAACTGCTGATCTGTTGGTGACGTCTGCTACTATCAATGATGAACTGCATTTCTAATGTCGGACTGTTTGTGTTAGCTCTTCAGATGGCTACCGTATGCATTAATGCGTGTGTATGCTATACATGCTGAGACAGCAGTCTGTCAATCTTTCCACAAGGGACTGTGATAAACATTATGTATTTTTTTTTTTTTTGTGGCAGAGGAGCGGAGCCACGATAGGGATACCCGTTTGCTATGAAGCTGAAACTAAGACTATGTGACAAGACTACCAGACCCATATATATATATATATATATATATATATATATATATATATATATATATATATATATATATATAGAGAGAGAGAGAGAGAGAGAGATACATACATACATATATATATATATATATACCAGATTGCATTTTGACAAATGCCTGTATAAGGTTGAGTTTATGGGCCATACACATTAAAGGTTGAATCAATAAATGTGAATCCATCACATAAACTGAACTGCTAAACAAAGCAATGTTTCCAATTGTACATTTGAACACAGAAGACACAAACAATAGGCTGCACAATTTATTGCCTGTCATGTTTCCCTGTATTGTTACGTGCACACTACAGTAACAATTAAATACATGAAGTAAAAATTCAACCACTCTTAAAAACCAACAATTGGTTATTTTTAGGGCAAATGCAGGTTCACTTTGAGGTCCTTCTGTTTACACAGTTCTGGACGGCATCGACAAATAATTGCAGCCTGACATAATCCTAACGGTTGGAAGACGTTTGAATAATTCAAGATGTGTTGTTTACCGTGTGGATATATTGTTCTTGTCTGCAGTGTGTCCAGAGTGCAAAAGTTAGCGTGCAGACCTGTACAAGACTGGGTTTAACTTGACACGGGATGTAACGGATTGAGATTACAAGTGTCAATGTCATGTTGTAAACAGTTTGTTGCTGTCGATCACACGTGATGAGGACCATTCTTTGTTTCATCCATCATGAAAGTATAGTTGATTGTCTGAAAGTATAGTCGATTGTCTGAAAGTATAGTCGATTGTCTGAAAGTATAGTCGATTGTCTGAAAGTATAGTTGATTGTCTGAAAGTATAGTTGATTGTCTGAAAGTATAGTTGATTGTCTGAAAGTATAGTTGATTGTCTGAAAGTATAGTTGATTGTCTGAAAGTATAATTGAATGTCTGAAAGTATAGTTGATTGTCTGACAGTATAGTTGATTGTCTGAAATTATAGTTGATTGTCTGAAAGTATAGTTGATTGTCTGACAGTATAGTTGATTGTCTAAAAGTATAGTTGATTGTCTGAAAGTATAGTTGATTGTCTGACAGTATAGTTGATTGTCTGTGAGTCCCAAAGTGAATTAAAAGCCAATGTCGGGCCCATAGGGAGCTAGGAGAGCAGGGAACAATGTCTAAATGTAAAGGGCCTGCTACAAATACGAAGAACATTCAATAGACTAAAACTGTGGTACATCCAGACGTTATCAGACTATGTTTAGAAATAGAATGATTTTCCTCAATATAAAATATAAATATGGATGCCTCTATCAACAGGTGATGTGGCAGCCTGAAGTTGGCAAAAGACAGAAAAAGCAGCCTGAAGCTAGCAACAGATAAAAAAAGCAGCCTGAAGTTAGTAACAGACATAAATAGCAGCCTGAAGCTAGCAACAGACGGAAAAAGCAGCCTAAAGCTAGCAAAAGACGGAAAAAGCAGCCTGAAGTTAGCAACATATATAAATAGCAGCCTGAAGCTAGCAACAGACAGAAAAAGCACCCCAAAGTTAGCAACAGACATAAAGAGCAGCCTGAAGCTAGCAACAGACATAAATAGCAGCCTGAAGTTAGCAACAGACAGAAATAGCACCCTGAAGTTAGCAACAGACTTTAATAACACCCTAAAGTTAGCAACAGACAGAAATAGCAGCCTAAGCTAGCAACAGACATAAATAGCAGCCTGAAGTTAGCAACAGACAGAAATAGCACCCTGAAGTTAGCAACGACCAGAAATAGCAGCCTGAAGTTAGCAACATAGAGAAATAGCAGCCTGAAGTTAGCAACAGACAGAAAAAGCTGCCTGAAGCTAGCAACATACAGAAATAGCTGTCTGAAGTTAGCAACAGACATAAATAGCAGCCTGAAGTTAGCAACAGACAGAAGTAGCTGCCTTAAGCTAGCCACAGACAGAAATAGCTGCCTGAAGCTAGCAACAGACAGAAACAGCTGCCTGAAGATAGCAACAGACAGAAAAAGCAGCCTGAAGTTAGCAACATACAGAAAAAGCTGCCTGAAGCTGGCAACCGACAGAAAAAGCAGCCTGAAGCTAGCAACAGACAGAAATAGCTACCTGAAGCTAGCAACAGACAGAAACAGCAGTCTGAAGCTAGCAGCATACAGAAATAGCTGCCTGAAGCTAGCAACAGACAGAAACAGCAGCCTGAAGCTAGCAGCATACAGAAATAGCTGCCTGAAGATAGCAACAGACAGAAACAGCTGCCTGAAGCTAGCAACATACAGAAATAGCTGCCTGAAGTTAGCAACAGACAGAAATAGCAGCCTGACGTAAGCAACAGACAGAAGTAGCTGCCTGAAGCTAGCAACCGACAGAAAAAGCAGCCTGAAGCTAGCAACATACAGAAATAGCTGCCTGAAGCTAGCAACATACATAATTAGCTGCCTGAAGTTAGCAACAGACAGAGACTGCAGCTTATATGTAGGAGCAGTGTGCTATTAAATTATAATTGAAAAAAGCTGATAGTTTGGCTGGCTTTGCCATGGTAACAGACGGTCAGCTACTGGATCACACCAACATTGTTCATAAACTTCAGAGGAGATGTCGATCAGAATATTCGGGTGCAGGGTGTGCAATTGAATGCTGAACATGCAAGATTTGGAAGTAAAGATTGGTACACAGAGGCATAAGAGGCACATCAGACAGACTAGACGTTTTGTCAGTTTAGGACTTGCACAATCATCCACAGGATGATGATGTTTATGTTAGGGTGGGAATCTGAGCAAATATAGGCTGGCCCATAGTGCTCCAATGGTTACCAGTCTAAAAAGTGAATATGTCTGTGTATAAAAAGTAAAGGTAAAGTTGGGAGGTGCGAACCAGCGTCACGGTTATAAACCAGAAGTGCTCTGCCATCAGTACGGACAGCTGATAAGAATTATCCACCTGTGTCGCCGTCCTAACGTAACTTTGTAGCTATAGTGACGTTCCTCCATTTACCCTAGAGTGTTACCTCTGGTACCCATTTCCTAAAGGCTATGTAAACCCCGGGAACCGCCCGGTTTAGAACACCGGTTGTGGGATGAAGCGAGTCAAAGATTGATTTGAAAGCTAGTATCCTATCGACTGCGCTAACGCCCCCACACCCCCTCTCCCGTAGGATGCTGATGTTATTGTAAAAAGGGGGGGGGATCTGAGCATATATTGGCTGGTCCAGAGTTCTCCGATGATTACTAAACTAAAAAGTGATCATGTCTGTCTATGCTGTTCATGACATAGGGTGCGATTTTGCAAGAAATTATAAAATAATAATAATAAAAATAATAAAAAGAGTGGCCTACCGCTGTGGGCGAACGAAGTTCCTCCTTCAGGTCTAAAGTCTTGTATCTATTGGACGTCCCTTGGATGTCCAGGTCCACTTTGAAGTGAAACAAGTGGTGATGGACATTTCCTAGAAGATTCTTGTAAACCTGAAATCCATACGGTCTTTCCGCAGTGGCGTAGTAGACAGACACGACGTAGCCTGCAGGTGAAAATGTCACCTAATATTATGATCAAGATTTCATGTGTGAACATCATCTTCATCCGCATAACCATGATGCATGTCTGCATAGAACGTCGCTCTCACCATGAAAGCTAGAAAGCCACTTAACTATCTACCTCATTTTCCGCCTATCGACTAAAAACTCAGACTACACCTTCCCCTTCCCCCATCTCCGATGTCTTGTTTCCACTGTCCCCCTGGACTTCTGCTTGTGGTCTCAAGGAACCATTCCCCTCTAATACTGGTCTCTTCCAGTCATTATGTTTTTGACACCTTTCCATTTTTCCAGGCGACAGCTTTATATTGCTCTATGAGGAGGTACAGGACTCACAACCCATGGCGATGGCAAGTGTGACTAACAAGACCCGATGTCGTTAAGGAAAGCTTTCCAAAATTAGAGCATGGAATTTCAGGACTATTGTTTCCAGTGCGTGTATTTAATCTTCTTCCTCACAGGGAATCGTCTCTCACCCTTTCTGAACCCATCGTTTCCACTTTCTTCTCATTCACTTCTTGATTTGCCCCTTAACACAACAAGGTCGGTGACATTTTATTCCACGAATTTAAATCAATACCAATATCATTCATGTCCCACTTGCACCCAACTGTATATCCTAGATGAGACCGACCTCGACATCCTCTGCTCAGCTGTAATTCACCCAAGAGGATGTCTTTGGAGACTCTACCACCCTTCTTTCTCCACGGCCCTCAAGGCTTCAGAGACTTGGCATTAAAAAAAAAAAAACAACTGGTGAACGCTATTAGGCTGTGTCTCCTGGTACCAGTAAGCACCACATTATGTCGTGTAATATGGTTAAGGTATTTTAGTTGACGAAATATGTTACCATTTATAAACACGTCGAGATTATTAGTCAGATCACAAAGAATGGATCATTTTGTCCTTCAAAAATCTGCTGTACCATTTAAGTGGACAGATGCCATCATCTACACTAATGATTTGCATTCGTATGCTAACACAGACCATTTGGCTGTTTGCTGTATGTTAACACAGACCATTTGGCTGTGTGCTGTATGCTAACACAGACCATTCGGCTGTTTGCTGTATGCTAACATAGACCATTTGTCTGTGTGCTGTATGCTTACACGGACCATTTGGCTGTGTGCTGTATGCTAACACAGACCAGTGTGCTGTTTTCTGTATGCTTAAACAGACCATTTGGATGTTTGCTGTATGTTAACACAGACCATTGTACTGTTTGCTGTATTCTAACACAAACCATTTGGCTGTTTGCTATATGTTAACACAGACCAAAGTGCTGTTTGCTGTATGCTTACATAGACCAATGTGCTGTTTGCTGTATGCTTACACAGACCTTTGGCTGTTTGATGTATGCTAACATAGACCATTTGGCTGTTTGATGTATTCTTACTCAGACCATTTGGCTGTTTGCTGTATGCTAACACATACCAGTTGGCTGTTTGCTGACAGTTAGTTGTTAGCTAATCGACCGATCATCCTTATGAAACATATGGAAAGTCCCTAAGCATTCAGATACCCTTTTAAACATCGTCTACAGCGTGTTGAAACTGATGACACCGGCTCTCTGTTGGGTTACCATTCTTCTTTGGCTAGCTTTTATTGTTCTTTTCTGGCCAACAATTTTTGTTTTTTCTTGACAGGAAGTTGTTTTAGTCAAGGTTGCCAATTAATCGTTTTCTCCGGAATCATTTCTTGTTCTGCATTTCTGAGAGTATTGGGAACATCAAAGATGTTTGAAAGAAAAAAAGTAAATGACCCTTTTCCACGCATCTAGACCTAGAGGGCATATAGGGCTAGACCTATATTTTACAGACCAATCGGCACAAGATGGATGATGTCGTCAGCGTCACACGGCCGCCTCTACTTCCTGGTACCCACTCAAGACTGGGTCGACCTGGAAGCCAAGGTTATTTTTGACAAAAGTCCGGCTCCGCCAAGGAGAGAACCCACGACCTTCTGATCCGTGGCCAGCGTCTAGCCGCTCCACCACAGCGACTGCCCGGTTTAAAAGAGATGAAGCCTTATTACAGGTTTTTGAAAACAGAGTCTTACGACGAATCTTTGGACCCATCAAAGATGCACACAACAGGGAATTGAGGGTAAGAAGCAAAAACTAAATTCATAATCTTTTCAAATCACCATTGATCACTGGCATCATGAGAGCTAATAAACTGCAATGGTTGGGGCATATTGAGAGAATATCAAATGACAGAGAGGTTACAAGCTGTATACCCAAGGAACTGAATGGTCGTAGACCACAAGACGGACAAGACGACGATGGATAGATAATGTCCAGACAGACCTACAAACACTTAGTGTCACCAACTGGAAAGCGAAGGCCAACCAGAAAAGGGAATTGAGACGGGTGATATATGCAGCAATGAACCTCAAGGGCTCGGAATGCTGAGGAGGAAGAAGAAGAACGAACGAACGAACGAACAAACTTTATTTTCGAAGGGTTACAAATTGGGCACGCAGGCCCGTCTGACATTTGGCCCTTCTAAGCACTCGTTTTTCAGAGTACCAATGCGTTTTCTAAAATGCATGTTGTGGATATAGAATAAAAATGTACATTGTAGAATATAATAAATACATCATGTGTACACAGTCTTACACACTCACACATATATATAAATACTCTCATATTCTCATACATGCACATTCATATACAGACATACCTAACACATACATACATACATACATACATACATACATACATACATACATACATACATACATACATACATACATACATACATACATACATACATACATACATACATACATACATACATACATACATACATACATACATACATACATACATACATACATACATACATACATACATATACATACATACATACATACATACATACATACATACATACATACATACATACATACATACATACATACATACATACATACATACATACATACATACATACATACATACATACATACATACATACATACATACATACATACATACATACATACATACATACATACATACATACATACATACATACATACATACATACATACATACATACATACATACATACATACATACATACATACATACATACATACATACATACATACATACATACATACATACATACATACACACACACATACATAGTTACTTTTATACATATACACACATACAAAGTTACTTTTATACATATACACACATACATAGTAACTTTTATACATACACACATACATAGTTACTTTTATACATATACACACATACATAGTTACTTTTATACATATACACACATACATAGTTACTTTTATACATATACACACATACATAGTTACTTTTATACATATACACACATACATAGTTACTTTTATACATATACACACATACATAGTAACTTTTATACATACAGACATACATAGTTACTTTTATACATATACACACATACATAGTTACTTTTATACATACACACACATACATAGTTACTTTTATACATACACACACATACATAGTTACTTTTATACATATACACACATATATAGTTACTTTTATACATACACACATATACATAGTTAATTTTATGCATACACACATACATAGTTACATTTATACATATACAGACATACATAGTTACTTTTATACATACACACACATACATAGTTACTTTTATACATACACACACATACATAGTTATTTTTATACATACACACACATACATAGTTACTTTTATACATACACACACATACATAGTTACTTTTATGCATACACATCCATAATGCATACCCACATACACACACACATACCTATATTTATAAAAAGACACACACACCACATACCTATACATCTACATATACCTACATACATCCACATACATGCATAAATACACACACACATACTTACACGACTACATTTACATACATTCATGCTCATACGTATACAGACAAACCTGATACATAATTACATGCATATACGCACACATACATACATCCACATGTATACATACATACATACATAGGCTACATCTACATGTATACATAAAACAAACATACATCCATACATACATGAACATACATGCATACATACACACACATACGCACACATACACCCACATACTTACACATCTACATATGCATAAATACATCCACCAATCATGCATACATACACAAATACATGCATACACATGCATACAGACATATACAATCACACATACAGACACCCACATACATACATTCACACCTGCATACATATATACATACATACATACATACATACTTATATAAATAATACACACACACCCACAATCACACATACACTCATATACAGTCGCACATACACCGACATATATACGCCCACATACTTACAACATACGTACATACAAACACACACCTACTTACAAACCTAAAAATACCTACACATATCCACATACATACACACACACTAACAATCACACAAACTCCTACATAATACATATAAGTAAGATAATAATGCATGTAAATTATTAGCTACATCTAGAGTGGCATATAATCACTAGTAATCATGAATTTAAAAAGGCTGTGGTTAAATGAGTACATACTCATATTTTTTAGATCGAGTGGGATGTGATTCCATAAATGAGCAGCAGAATATGACAAACTTGTTTTATACAGATCTAATCTAGGCTTCGGCAAGTGCAATAAATTTAGGCGTTAGCTGTTCTTATGGTTGGTGTGAATTAACCTGAAAAGATAATCTGCAGTGTTCTGGGCTAATATTTTATGAACAAATTTGGCTTTATTAAATATTAATCGTTTATTGAATGGGAGAATTCTTAGATGGCTATAGGCATGATTTTTATCAGCGTGCTTTCAGAAGAAGAAGAAGAAGAAGAAGAAGAAAAAGAAGAAGAAGAAGAAGAAGAAGAAGAAGAAGAAGAAGAAGAAGAAGAAAAGAAGAAGAAGAAGAAGAAGAAGAAGAAGAAGAAGAAGAAGAAGAAGAAGAAGAAGAAGAAGAAGAAGAAGAAGAAGAAGAAGAAGAAGAAGAAGAAGAAGAAGAAGAAAAAGAAGAAGAAGAAGAAGAAGCAAAAAAAAAAGAAAAAAGAAGAAGAGAAAATGGAAGAAGAGGAAGAAAAAGAAGAAGAGAAAGAAGAAGAAGAAGAAGAAGAGGAAGAAGAAGAAGAAGAAAGAAAAAGGAGAAGAAGAAGAAGAAGAAGAAGAAGAAGAAGAAGAAGAAGAAGAAGAAGAAGAAGAAGAAGAAGAAGAAGAAGAAGAAGAAGAAGAAGAACAAGAACAAGAACAAGAAGAAGAAGAAGAATAAGAAGAAGAAGAAGAAGAAGAAGAAGAAGAAGAAGAAGAAGAAGAAGAAGAAGAAGAAGAAGAAGAAGAAGAAGAAGAAGAAGAAGAAGAAGAAGAAGAAGAAGAAAGAAGAAGAAGAAGAAGAAGAAGAAGAAGAAGAAGAAGAAGAAGAAGAAGAAGAAGAAGAAGAAGAAGAAGAAGAAGGTGAAGAAGAAGAAGATGAAGAAGAAGAAGAAGAGGATCATTGTTTTACCTGCACTAAGCGTCTGCACCTCCAGGACCCCGTTCTGATGAAAGACAAAGTCAACAATGTAGTCGTAGTTAGTCACCGCCAGAGCTGTCCTGCAACATTGAGTCAAGTCACATGAGGATCTATTTGTGCTGAGCAAAGTCACATGAGGATCTATTTGTGCTGAGCAAAGTCACATGAGGGTCTATTTGTGCTGAGCAAAGTCACAAGAGGGTCTACTTGTGCTGAGCAATATCACATGAGGGTCTACTTGTGCTGAGCAATATCACATGTAGATCTACTTGTGCTTAGCAAAGTCACATGAGGATCTATTTGTGCTGAGCAAAGTCACATGAGGGTCTACTTGGGCTGAGCACAGTCACATGAGGATGTATTTGTGCTGAGCAAAGTCACATGAGGATCTATTTGTGCTGAGCAAAGTCACATGAGGGTCTACTTGGGCTGAGCACAGTCACATGAGGATCTACTTGTGCTGAGCAAAGTCACATGAGGATGTACTTGTGCTGAGCAAAGTCACATGAGGATCTACTTGTGCTGAGCAAAGTCACATGATGATCTATTTGTGCTGAGCAAAGTCACATGAGGATCTACTTGTGCTGAGCAAAGTCACATGAGGGTCTACTTGTGCTGAGCAAAGTCACATGAGGATCTATTTGTGCTGAGCAATATCACATGAGGATCTACTTGTGCTGAGCAAAGTCACATGAGGGTCTACTTGTGCTGAGCAAAGTCACATGAGGATCTACTTGTGCTGAGCAAAGTCACATGAGGATCTATTTGTGCTGAGCGAGGTCACATGAGGGTCTACTTGTGCTGAGCAAAGTCACATGAGGGTCTAATTGTGCTGAGCAAAGTCACATGAGGATGTACTTGTGCTGAGCAAAGTCACATGAGGATCTACTTGTGCTGAGCAAAGTCACATGAGGATCTACTTGTGCTGAGCACAGTCACATGAGGGTCTACTTGTGCTGAGCAATATCACATGAGGATCTACTTGTGCTGAGCAAAGTCACATGAGGGTCTACTTGGGCTGAGCACAGTCACATGAGGATCTACTTGTGCTGAGCAAAGTCACATGAGGATGTACTTGTGTTGAGCAAAGTCACATGAGGATCTACTTGTGCTGAGCAAAGTCACATGAGGATCTACTTCTGCTGAGCACAGTCACATGAGGATCTACTTGTGCTGAGCAAAGTCACATGAGGGTCTACTTGTGCTGAGCAAAGTCACATGAGGATCTACTTGTGCTGAGCAATATCACATGAGGGTCTACTTGTGCTGAGCAATATCACATGAGGATCTACTTGTGCTGAGCAATATCACATGAGGGTCTACTTGTGCTGAACAATTTCACATGAGGATCTACTTGTGCTGAGCAATATCACATGAGGGTCTACTTGTGCTGAGCAAAGTCACATGAGGATCTACTTGTGCTGAGTAATATCACATGAGGATCTACTTGTGCTGAGCAATATCACATGAGGATCTACTTGTGCTGAGCACAGTCACATGAGGATCTATTTGTGCTGAGCACAGTCACATGAGGATCTACTTGTGCTGAGCACAGTCACATGAGGATCTACTTGTGCTGAGCACAGTCACATGAGGATCTATTTGTGCTGAGCACAGTCACATGAGGATCTACTTGTGCTGAGCACAGTCACATGAGGGTCTAATTGTGCTGAGCACAGTCACATGAGGATCTACTTGTGCTGAGCACAGTCACATGAGGATCTACTTGTGCTGAGCACAGTCACATGAGCCTGCTTGTGCTGAGCACAGTGTCTGTAAAACTGACTGACCTTTTTCAGACACAACAAATATAGAGCTGTTATGTGGTTACAACCGTACCACAACAAGCAGCAAAGTAAACCTAATGCCTACACAATAGATAAACAATATTTATGTCATCTAAACTATGTCATATGAAGGGCACCAATTGTATAATATAACTAATAAAATACAACGTAACGTATGATAATATTCTATATTTCAATATAAAATAATATAATATAGTATAATTTATTATATTGAAATATGATATAATACAGTGCAGTCAATACAATACAATACAGGCACACACACACAAAAAAGGCAAATATAATCTTTTTGTGTAAGGAACATACAAATAGTTTGTTTGTATGTTCGAGGAGATAACTACAGGTGTGCATATGTGTATGTTGTGTGAGATAACTACAGGTGTGCATATGTGTATGTTGTGTGAGATAACTACAGGTGTGCATATGTGTATGTTGTGTGAGATAACTACAAGTGTGCATACGCGTATGTTGTGTGAGATAACTACAGGTGTGCATATGTGTATGTTGTGTGAGATAACTGCAGGCGTGCATACGCGTATGTTGTATGAGATAACTACAGGTGTGCATACTGTATGTTGTGTGAGATAACTACAGGTGTGCATACTGTATGTTGTGTGAGATAACTACAGGTGTGCATACGCGTATGTTGTGTGAGATAACTACAGGTGTGCATACGCGTATGTTGTGTGAGATAACTACAGGTGTGCATACGTGTATGTTGTGTGAGATAACTACAGGTGTACACGTGTTTATGTGTGTGAAGATAACTACAATTTACACATGTATAATTTTTGGGAGACAACCACAAGAGTACATATGTATATGTTTGGGGAGCTACCTACACGTGTACACATTTGCGTCTGTAGGAAGATAACTACAAGTGTACACGTGTGTGTGAGTGTGTGTGTGTGTGTGTGTGTGTGTGTGTGTTTAGGGAAATAGTTAAAGTTGTACATATTTATCTGAGTGGGAAGATAACTACAGGTATACACATGTGTTATCTTTGGGGAGATAACTTCAGGTATACACATGTGTTATCTTTGGGGAGATAACTTCAGGTATACACATGTGTTATCTTTGAGGAGATATCTACAGGTATACACATGTGTTATCTTTAGGGAGATAACTTCAGGTATACACATGTGTTATCTTTGAGGAGATATCTACAGGTATACACATGTGTTATCTTTAGGGGGCTAACTTCAGGTATACACATGTGTTATCTTTGGAGAGATAACCAAAAGTGTGCATATGTGTATGTTTAGGAGATAGCTATAAGTGTATATATATATATATATGTGTGTTCTGTGAGATAACTACACGTTTACACAGGAGTAGGTTCATGGAGATAACTACATGTGTACATATGTTCTTGAGCCTACAATACAGACCTGAACACGAGATTTGAATCGAGCATGCCACCATAGAAAGAGCCGGAGTCCAAGTTGTATGACATATGCCGTCTCAGCGGGTCGCCTTTGTTGTTCTCGAAGATACAGATGGACGTTTTGTAAACATCTGGTTCGGACTTCTTTTCTGACAGGAACACCTGGAAACAGACGCGTTAGTGATAGTTGTTCATCATCATCATCATGTGACATGATGATAAGTATAGGTTGTCATGTTTTCACCTTCTCAAGCGATCACTAGAATCACGGATTAGGTCAACGTTCTCGTGGTTTTTTAATTTTTTTTTCATTTGACAACACCATGTGGCATGTCTGATTTGTTTTTCTGAGTGAACTAAATTTATCTAAATTCTGTATCTAACGTTTACAATTGCCTGAGATTGCTTAGATATTTGTTTTGATCATACTACTATTTCCGGGAGTCCCGTTGTGTAGAGGCTAGATGCGCTTCTTCAGGCCTGAAGGTCATCGATTCAAATTTGCACTGGGCCGATAACCTTGGCTTCTAAGTTGACGCAATCTGAATTGATTACAAGATAAAGTTATGGGAAGTAAAGGCGGCTGGCCTAATAGGACCTATTCAAAATGTAGGTCTAGTACTATGTACACAATGTGCCAAAGGCAGGAACAATTGTCCTTTACAGTACTACTGCTGCTGCTACCACTACTGCTGCTGCTGCTGCTGCTGCTACCACTACTGCTGTTGCTATCACTACTGCTGCTGCTACCACTACTGCTGCTGCTGTTGCTACCACTACTGCTGCTTTTGCTGCTACCACTACTGCTGCTGCTACCACTACTGCTGTTGCTACCACTACTGCTGTTGCTACCACTACTGCTGCTGCTACCACTACTGCTGCTGCTACCACTACTGCTGTTGCTACCACTACTGCTGTTGCTACCACTACTGCTGCTGCTACCACTACTGCTGCTGCTACCACTACTGCTGTTGCTACCACTACTGCTGCTGCTACCACTACTGCTGCTTTTGTTGCTACCACAATTGCTGCTGAATTAGCAACAACTACTGCTGCTTCTTCTGCTGCTGCTGTTGCTATTACTACAACTGGGACTGCTGCTATTACTACTACTGCTGCTGCTACCACTACTGCTGCTGCTGCTGCTGCTGCTACCACTACTGCTGTTGCTATCACTACTGCTGCTGCTACCACTACTGCTGCTGCTGTTGCTACCACTACTGCTGCTTTTGCTGCTACCACTACTGCTGCTGCTACCACTACTGCTGTTGCTACCACTACTGCTGTTGCTACCACTACTGCTGCTGCTACCACTACTGCTGCTGCTACCACTACTGCTGTTGCTACCACTACTGCTGTTGCTACCACTACTGCTGCTGCTACCACTACTGCTGCTGCTACCACTACTGCTGTTGCTACCACTACTGCTGCTGCTACCACTACTGCTGCTTTTGTTGCTACCACAATTGCTGCTGAATTAGCAACAACTACTGCTGCTTCTTCTGCTGCTGCTGTTGCTATTACTACAACTGGGACTGCTGCTATTACTACTACTGCTCTGCTGCTGATACTACTGCTACTGTTGCTTCTACTCGTACTACTACTGCTGCAACTATTACTACTACTGCTGCTACTACTGCACTAATATAAATAACTGTCTGAGAAAAGCATAATTACATACAAAATACACATGAACATCAAGTAGTAACAAGTGCCATATCTATCTCTATCAGGTCCCTTGTAGAATAGCAGGTGTTAAAGCTTGGGATGGTCTTGCTTGGAAGGAGATAGTGACAGGTGCCATATCCTTCTCTATCAGGGGGTAAAGCTTGGGATGGTCTTGCTTGGAAGGAGATAGTGACAGGTGCCATATCCTTCTCTATCAGGTGGTAAAGCTTGGGATGGTCTTGCTTGGAAGGAGATAGTGACAGGTGCCATATCCTTCTCTATCAGGTGGTAAAGCGTAGGATGGTCTTGCTTGGAAGGAGATAGTGACAGGTGCCATATCCTTCTCTATCAGGTGGTAAAGCTTGGGATGGTCTTGCTTGGAAGGAGATAGTGACAGGTGCCATATCCTTCTCTATCAGGTGGTAAAGCTTGGGATGGTCTTGCTTGGAAGGAGATAGTGACAGGTGCCATATCCTTCTCTATCAGGTGGTAAAGCGTAGGATGGTCTTGCTTGGAAGGAGATAGTGACAGGTGCCATATCCTTCTCTATCAGGTGGTAAAGCTTGGGATGGTCTTGCTTGGAAGGAGATAGTGACAGTAAATATGGACAAGAGAAAACGATAGGCTCTTACAAAAGCTACTTATTAGGTTGATTAGAATGGTCTGGAACTGCTCACTGTAGCTGATCACCATCTCAAAAGCGATTACAATGAGGTCCAGGAACTGGTTTAGAAAAATACGCAGGATTGGTCATTTACTTGGGACCAGCGTGCTTGCCTTGCTGTTCATATAATATAGAGGTCGATACAAACAAAGATCAATCTTAGAAACTGCAGGGGATAAGGAACATATTCTTTATGACATTTCGTGGAAAACTAAACGGTCAAAGACTGAAAAGGCTCAGTTTGTAGAACGCCTTGGCAGACGATGCTTCTGGACAAGTCTGGGGAATTGACTAGAGAGTGTTTGGTGAGAATTAGGCCAAGTGCCTCACTCTGCCAACAACGCAAAACACTTAAAGTGATGGTGATTTACTATGAACTAGTCACATATTGATAGCCGGCGATAGGCAGGAGCACTCTTGTGGAGGCTAGTTCTCATGTGGGAGTTCAAGTGACGCTGGAAAAGTAATTCCTGCTATTGTGTATCTATATAAACACTGTGTCGATGTGCAATTTGTGAATTTCGCAGGATTTGTGAATACTCCTCTGCACTTTGAAGCACTGCCAGCATGCTTTAACACCAGGTGGCACCAATAGACCGATTTGAAAACGGCTTCCAAAGACGCTGGGCTGAAACAACATAATGTCATAGAATTCCCCTATGATGGAAGGGAGACCACAATACCAGTTCACGAATATCTAAAGAGTGTTTATGGAGATTCAATTCTGGATGTTAGCACTGTCTGGACGAAGCTGAAGTAGGTCAACCCTCCGTGGCTAACGCAAAGCAGACCGGCAGTCCGTCCGGCAGTTGCTCCACACAACATTAATCAAATCGACGACAACGTGCCTGCTGATCGTCAGATAACAATGGATGAAATGTTATTCTATGTTGTCCACACAAATAAAGGCAGTGTCCAGACCATCAGTTCATCTAGTCTTCCCCGGAGGTCAGCACGAATGATGCCATCAGCTTGAGAAATATTGATTCAATGATATTTCTTCCTCTTCCTCTGTACCAGTGTTGATGCCGTCAAGTGTCGCAGGAGCAGTTAGATGTAGTTTCATGTCGTCTGCTGTTTACGTAGCTTGTCTTCACGTTTATATTGTGAGTTTTTTTTCTCCGGATGAAATTTACGATGAAACTTTCTTTTGCCCTAAACTTCCAGGGTTGAATGTGACCATTTTGAGTGTCCAGCAAGATCATGTGACCTGTATATTACTGCTCTCACCTATTTTAATGTACTCCAATTATTACTTTAAGCGAACGCATCTTAACAATTAAATCATCTAACGGCTTGCTGGGTCCGTCCTACAGACATTTTTTGCGACACAGTCAAACTTTTGGTGTTAAGATACCCTAATTAAACAGCTGTGTTCTGAGGCGATATAATTTGAAAATACCGGCACTTTTCTTAAGCAAGACAATAGATAGATGTATCTTCTATCAGTTTTAATATCGGATACAGGATGCCAGGCCCTAACTGAAACGTGAATTATCATGGTAAAAGTGACTTTCAGCAAGATTTTAGAGATGCTCACCAATAAGAAGCCAACTGCAAAAGTGCTGAAGTTCAGGGTAGAAGCTCGGCTGTTATGTGTGTTTGAGACAGGGACAATAAGTAGACAAGAGACAGGGACAATAAGTAGACCAGAGACAGGGACAATAAGTAGACAAGAGACAGGGACAATAAGTAGACCAGAGACAGGGACAATAAGTAGACAAGCGACATAGACAATAAGTATACAAGCGACAGGGACAATAAGTATACAAGAGACAGGGACAATAAGTAGACAAGCGACAGGGACAATAAGTAGACAAGAGACAGGGACAATAAGTATACAAGAGACAGGGACAATAAGTAGACAAGAGACAGGGACAATAAGTAGACAAGAGACAGGGACAATAAGTAGACAAGATACAGGGACAATAAGTAGACAAGCGACAGGGACAATAAGTAGACAATCCCAAACCCGTTTACTGGCGGCAGAGTTGTAGTTGCTCAGAAGGATGCTAGCAATATCATGGAATGATAGAAAAACAAATGAAACAGTCCTCACTGAGACAGAAGACAGTTGTGAACAGGCTGGAATGCTTATACGTTGACAGTCGATGTTGTAGGACGTGATATTGGAAGGATTGGACTCGACAACTCGCTACCAGCCGGAAAGGATGGATGAAAAAACAACAAGAGAAAGGTAAATAGATACTACCTGGATGACTTTGCCACATTGTAGGATCTAGAGAACAAACCGAAAGAAAAAAAAGGAACAGACAGCATGGATGGCAGAGTGCTGTCAGAGATGTTACTGTCATGGTGGCATACTCACAGACAGCAGGGATGACGTAGTGCTGTCAGAGATGTTGCTGTCATGGTAGCATACTCACAGACAGCAGATATGACATAGTGCTGTCAGAGATGTTACTGTCATGGTGGCATACTCACAGACAGCAGGGATGACATAGTGCTGTCACAGATGTTACTGTCATGGTGACATACTCACAGACAGCAGGGGTGACATAGTGCTGTCAGAGATGTTACTGTCATGGTAGCATACTCACAGAACTGACAAGCGTTGCTGTGTCTGGACAGTCAGCCCCGGGCACCAAACCTTTCGCAGATACGCCCATGCCTGTTGCACTGTCCACGTAGTTAGCCGTGTTCTGGGGAGATACAATTATTTGTTTTATGGAATCAGCAATTTTCTTTTTATTCCAAGTCTTTTCAGAATTATTCCCAACAACCATTGTACAACCACAGCGGGCAGCGTGGATTTTTATCCTGGTATGAGTCGTCGCAGGTCGACCTAGCCTCAAATGGGTACCAGGATGGGCTGTCCTGGGAAAGTAAAGACGGCCGGCGTAATGCTGACCACATAACCCACCGAGTGCCTATTGGTATGTAAAAATATGGGTGCTCTTCACATATGACCGATGCACCTAAGGGCGTGAAAAGGGATCTTTTCTTTTACTTTTTTACCATTATAAAACTATTGAACATGTTGTTCGTCTATCACAAAAGATGATAACCAGTCCTTTCATCCAATGGTGATTGGTTTAGGTTTTGTGAGTGCGAAGATGGCTGATGACGTCAATTCTAGCACTGCAAGTTCTTGAGCAGTGTGGTCAGCGTATTTAGGCGGCATCTCTCTGGTGATTTGCTTCATTGTCTTGTTTGGCTTGTCTTTTCTGAACTGCTGCTGCAGTTCTAGCAGCTTCATGGGCCACAGCTCCTCGTTGAAAAGAGGAGAACCAGGATGAGCGGTCACATGCAACGTCTTCCTAGGTCTTAGGATCAATACAGAAGTCTTTCAGTAAGGCTTTCAGGCTGTCCTTGAAAAGTTTCTTTTGTCCACATTGAGAGCGGTTTCCTTTTAGTCGCACACAATAGAAAATTATGTTGCCTAGAGAAACCACACAAGCAAAACATACCAAAAAATGCTCGGGTTTCGTAGTGCAAGGTCTTTTAAAAAAATACGCAACTAACTGGTTGGTCTCATAATGGAATCAGTTTTTGTTTTTAATGACCCTTGCCACCTGGTTGACCCAGCCTTGAGCAGGTTCCAGATCGACCTATAGTGCTGAGATGTGAAGTGGGTGCCAGATCGACCTATAGTGCTGAGATGTGAAGTGGGTGCCAGATCGACCTATAGTGCTGAGATGTGAAGTGGGTGCCAGATCGACCTATAGTGCTGAGATGTGAAGTGGGTGCCAGATCGACCTATAGTGCTGAGATGTGAAGTGGGTGCCAGACCGACCTATAGTGCTGAGATGTGAAGTGGGTGAGAGATCGACCTATAGTGCTGAGATGTGAAGTGGGTGCCAGATCGACCTATAGTGCTGAGATGTGAAGTGGGTGCCAGATCGACCTATAGTGCTGAGATGTGAAGTGGGTGCCAGATCGACCTATAGTGCTGAGATGTGAAGTGGGTGCCAGATCGACCTATAGTGCTGAGATGTGAAGTGGGTGCCAGATCGACCTATAGTGCTGAGATGTGAAGTGGGTGCCAGACCGACCTATAGTGCTGAGATGTGAAGTGGGTGAGAGATCGACCTATAGTGCTGAGATGTGAAGTGGGTGCCAGATCGACCTATAGTGCTGAGATGTAAAGTGGGTGCCAGATCGACCTATAGTGCTGAGATGTGAAGTTGATGCCAGATCGACCTATAGTGCTGAGATGTGAAGTGGGTGCCAGATCGACCTATAGTGCTGAGATGTGAAGTGGGTGCCAGATCGACCTATAGTGCTAAGATGTAAAGTGGGTGCCAGATCGACCTAAAGAGCTGAGATGTGAAGTTGATGATAGATCGACCTATAGTGCTGAGATGTGAAGTGGGTGCCAGATTGACCTATAGTGCTGAGATGTGAAGTGGGTGCCAGATCGACCTATAGTGCTGAGATGTGAAGTGGGTGCCAGATCGACCTATAGTGCTGAGATGTGAAGTGGGTGCCAGATCGACCTATAGTGCTGAGATGTGAAGTGGGTGCCAGATCGACCTATAGTGCTGAGATGTAAAGTGGGTGCCAGATCGAGCTATAGTGCTGAGATGTGAAGTGGGTGCCCACTGCTTCAAACAAAATGGGTGTAGCCCTAGATGGTTCCTTACTTTTCACATTCTTCTTCTTCTGCCTTTCTAGCCCCCAATGGAGCATAGGCCCTCAACCAACTCACGCCGTCGTTCTATCCAACGATATTGCATGCAGTTCTCCCTATGTCCTCCTAATCTTTTCAACTTCACTCTCTAGTTTCCTTTTATGTTTGTTTTTAGGTCTACCTTAATTTTTTTGCCCCTGTGGGTTCCAGTGCTCTCAGGTTATCTCAACGTGTGTCCTGTCCAACGCCAGAGTTCTTTTCCTGACCTCTTGGTCCACTGGGACCTGTTTAGTTCTTCTCCAAAGCTGCACTTAGATATTCTATCATGCAATTTAATTCCCTCTATTCTGCTCAGGCAACAATTGATGAATGTTTGTAGTTTAATATTAATTGCATCAGCTGATTTCCACATTTCCGCTCGATACAACAGCACTGATTTGACATTAGAGTTGAACGTTTTTACTTTGGTAATAATTTAAATTTTTTTTTTTGTTGACCTTCACAAATTTCATAACCATATGAATGCTCCTCTTGCTTTTTGTAAACTTATTTTTACATCTCTATAAGTTCCCCTATTTGTATCTGCATTACTGCCCAAGTTCATGTACGATTCCACGTCTTGTACCTTTGACATTACTTACTACTATACATCGCTAGTGTTCATGAAAAAAAAAAGTATTCAATGTAATATGATTGATACATTTTAATTTAAACTACTTGTAATCTCACAACACGATGTACTCACACCAAACGGCATGTATCCAGAATAAATGACAGCGATCTCAGACACGGCCAGTTCATACACGATTCTCTCGCCTCTGAATTTGACGTCATAGATGGCTGGTCCATTTCTGGAAGACATGTGGTAGTTGAAAGTCCAGTCCAGATAGGTGACCTGTGGCAGTGTTTCATAAAATTAGGTCCATACATATATCATCATTTATGAGGTTAGT